TGCTTGTCTAATCGTGTGCGGCTTTTGCGTGTTTTGATAATAAAAAATGGATCGAAATTTTTCTATCAAACGTTGCTAATCTCTCATCAATCTCAATAATTTTGGTGACGAGAGCACGACAGTGTTCAGGAATGATTTCTTCATCATTCCACATTTTATTCATCTGTTCATCTATTTTTGTATGTTCAAGCTTTTTGAGTGCTATTAGACATTTTTGTAATGTTGTTTTAGCACTCAGAATCGCTGTATCCCATTCGTTTTGTATGGTTGTCAACTCGGCAGTGTCTAGTGGTAGACTTGTTTTCATTGATATATCGAGACGTTTTAACGATGGTGGTGGTGCTTTCATTCTTGTTCGTGCTTCGAGTTTTTCAACTTCTGTTATCACTTCTTGCATTTTTATATGCAAGTTGATATACAAATTGATTCGCTCTTGTTCGTCTTTTGAAAAATGTTGAGCATCTAGTCGCGTAATCAGTGTATTTCGGTCCGCTTTCATTTTAGATGTTTCAACTCTTTTGAAAACCGTTTCACGAATATGCAAGAGTAGTTTAGTAGCATGTCCATCCTGCCAGTTGTCAATTTCATGTTGAATCATTTGCCGTTCTTGCTGGTTTAGTATACTAGCATCAGGATTAATGCCTTTATCACTTGCCCATAATTGCATTAGCTCAGCTAATATGTGTTTGGCATGTGCTTCGGCTTTTCCGTATTTTTCTAATGCATTCTGTTGCCATTCGTGCAATGTTTTTATGTATTTCGATGGATCAACATTAGTTTCACGTAACTTGTTTTTAATGTCTTTCGGCAATGTTTTGGATTGGTGTACATTTGATAGTAATTGCTAGTAAGCAAATAATGACAACTATGGTATTTACATCCAAAATAATCGATCAATACTAAAGCATGATCGCCTAGTAGGATGTGAACTTCATTGCCATTAATTGCTGGTCGGTAATATTCAGGCATGTCACGATATAGATCGACCAATGAATCTTTTATTTGTTCAATTAGTTGCTGATCAAAACAATCTTCAGCCAAAAATAAAAGCATTAAAATTGAAATTTTAATTTTGACCAGTCAAATTTAGAATTTGGCTAGCCAAAATTAAAATCAAGAATCTAATTTTAATTCACTCATTTCTCGTCCAAAAAGACTGAAATTTCAGACAATGATTAGAAGTGATCATAGAATGTAGATCGAGTCAAAAACATGACATAGGATTTCCAGTTTATCTATAGGATTTTTCAGTAGATCTCTGGAAGACCTCGCATGGAACCATGGTTCAGATCAAATTTTCTCGACTAGTTCCGCATTCTATGATCACTGCTAATCATTGTCTGAAATTTCAGTCTTTTTGGACGAGAAATGAGTGAAATATACGGCTTTTAGTTTTAGACGGTAACAGACGAAAAACCGGCTTTTCCCAAATTGGCTTTTCTGGAGTTGTAGTTGAGTGGGAAATGAAACGAACATCGCCACAGTTAGATGTTCGCTACCTAATATTAAATTGCCTCCTGTTGGATTGACAATTAGTCGACCAGAATGCACCAATATCAGGTGACTAACTATATTGTCGGATGGATGATAATAAGATGAGAAAATGATCGTTTCACACTCTGTTTATTTATGCAAAATCATCAGCTACACATCTTTAGGAAATATCCCATAGGTGATCGAAGTAAAATGATCGGAAAAAAATCCCATCAGATATAGTACATACGAACAATAACACTGAGAGAAAGAAAAGTACTTGTCAAAAGAAAAGATGAAACATATGTTATGTATAAGAAGCGAAAATACACATATATGTGATAACGAAAAGGAAAAATCAAACATATATGAGTTGATAGTAGAATGAAGAAAAATACCGAATATGAACATATACATAAGAAATAAGTGGATAGAGATGTGTGAATTACCACCTAACAGCCACGATGATTAGAGTGATCGATTACCTATGATCCACATGTTTCTGAGATTCCCAGACATGTGTGCAACGAGATAGGTGTGTCCTCAGAAAACATCTGTATCTCGGGAACCAAAGAAGATGAAGACCTGGACCTTGAGTAGTTTTAAAGAGAAATGTTTACACTGTCTAGTGGTGTTATTTGAGATTGGATTTTATAGCGTGGTTTGAGAACAGTAAGCATTCGGATTTTTCGGATCGAACGGCACACCATAGTAAACCTGATCGAAGGCCCTGATTTTTTCGTAGGTTTACGTCCCAAAGTGTCTCATTTTAAAATCTGAAAATCGCAGGTCGTTGAAAAGTTATAAGCATTTTGCTTGAGCGCATTCTTTTAAACTTAGATAACAGCACTGAAGTAAGATTTCTCTGTTTTTAAACTTTTCTCTAAGGTTTAGCCGCGCTTTGAATAGTTTTTTCTTCTCTGCAGGATATACAATAGCGCTATTTGGTTGAGGATGACAGCTATACAGAGTGGCCTGGAATGACGCTTGTGAGGTGTTGCAGGGCTTCGAACCACCTATTACGTGCGAACGAGTTCGCGATATGATAGCTAAGGCGTTCACATTTATTGAAGAACAAAATAGGCGGAATAATGAATTTAAGTGCTTACGGAAAACTGGAATGGGGGGTGAAAATGAGTTTTTTGAGGTGCTAGTTTTACTCATGGAGAAAAACTATACCAGACTTGTGAATATGAGCTTGATCTTAGAGGGGGCCGATTTTGCCTCTTATCGACCCCCGTCCTTTATATGAAAAATTACGATTAAAAACAATTTTAGATATTAACAAACATAAAAATGAATTTCAAGTAACAAATTGGATATGAATGAAAGTTATTTCAATAAAATAATTTGTCATATTTTCTTAATATTCAGACAGCTTAATAATTCTGATGAAATTCAAATAAAGAATGGTTCTAAAATATCAATATCAAAGGAAAAGATTTTAAACGAAAACAAATTTACAGTTTATTTTGGAGATAATGATAATTTTAAAATTCAAAAGCACCTACTAAATGGACAAAACTTAATTGAAATATTGAATAACTTCAGTTTTAATAAAGATATTACATTATTAAAAGAAAGTGAAAAGTACATCTATAAACTTATTCGTAAAGAAACTGAGTCAAAGAACGGATTTACAAAATATTCAACTGAGCAAATAGAATCATTTCAAAAGTTACAAGAATTAGTGAGTGAAAAGTTAATTGAAAAGTTAATTGAAAAGTTAATTTTCTAAATAACCTATTTAGAATTTAATATTCATAATTATATTACCAGTGAAATAAATATTATATCTGATTCTGAATTACCAGATATATGGTTGTTTAAAATGAATTTTATTTTTAATAATAGAAATATAATTACAAAAAAAAATAAATTTCAAAATGAATTAAATCTTTCAACGTCTATCGAGATTGAAAAATTAAATTTAATAAATTCAAATGTGTTTACAATTTTATATGAATTGATTGAAAATTTGTTTAAAAAGCACAAAGAAATATTAATTATTGTCTATCAATGGTTGTCGATATTTGGTTATTTATTAATAAAAATCACACAAAACGAATTTCATATTTCAATCAAAGTTCAAATTGATAAAATTTCTCAAAATTTATTTCAAAAATTTAAACAAAAAGATGATTTGGAAAACAGTGTTTTATATGTAATTATATTAAAAAACAATCAAACTTTAAAAGAATATTATTTAAAGCAAACCTTGACGGGTTTGAATGAAAAAAAGAAACAAATTTCAAATACTATCGACTCATCATCAGCTGATTCAAATATTAAAAAAGAATTAAGAGAGACATCGCGGTTCCGTCGAACATTTTTCAAGAGGGCCATAACACGGTCAAAACTGACATAAACTTTTGATGATCTCATTCGATTCTAAACTGGGGTTATGAATAAATTTTTAGCCTCCTTGGACTTGATCTGACCGAGTTATAGAATTTACAAAATGACGACCAACGATAATTTGTGAAAATGAGCCATCTCTGGAATTTTGGCTATAACTCAGTCCAGTTTTATCCGTCCTGCAATATTTCATGAAAGCCTGATAGAAACTGAACAAATTCACCCAGCTTTTCGTTTCTCAAGTTAACTTATCTTTGTGGAAAAAGTCTTTTCCAAAAAATTCATGTTTTTCTCCGACCCCATCTTCCAACTGATAGCAAGTTTATGAAGAGACAAAGAGATGCCGAAAATTCTCACTACTTACTTACTAATTTCAGCAAAAAATTCATTCAGCAAAACCGAAAATTTTATTTTTCTCCAAACAGCTTTATATACACATCTATGGATGCAGTTTTAGATACTGATTCATAATATCATCTTTATTTTGATTTAAAATCAGTTTTAGACCGCGAAAACTCGAAAAACTGGAAAACGTTAGAAAATTAGCGTCAGTCGGCCATATTGTTTGTCAAATTTGGACCTGACCTTGTACTTTTATTTGAAAATCTTTTATCGGATTTTGTAGTCTATTAAGGCCACTCCCTCCTCCAAAATCGATTTTCAACATGGTGCATGGAATCTTCATGAAACTTTCTACAGATGCTTGACCCATAAAGGTACAACTGTAAAAAAATTTTCATGGCTCTAGCTCTTTCGGTTCGAGAGATATACGGGCACCAAGGGGCAAAATGGGGTCCCACGCGTACAAGGATTTTTTCAATTCACTTCGAGATGGAGCGTTCGGGCTGATCTCATTTGAAAGAGAACTTCTTGGTGCTTCAGATGAGAGAAAGAGTTCTTTTAATTTTGATTTTTTTTCTTTGGTGGGATCTACAAAACTGTGAAGTTCTGAAAACCCTATGTAGGATTTTTCATAAAATACCTGATTGCTCAAAGATTGAGAGTCAAATAAAAAATTCTTTCTCGTCATCTGAAGAAGGATATATCTATCTATCAAATAAAAAAAATCGTAGTTTAATAGAATAAACTTAGTGAAGAAAAATTTGGTCAGAGATTGATATTTTACAAAAAAGTCGGTTTTGAGAAAAACGATAAACAAACAGCAGCGATGGTGAAGATGATGAAAGTGGATAGATATTTATATAGTATTATGTCGAGCGATGAAGATGCATACGAACCAGGTGGTGATGATTTAGATTGAACTTTTATCTGCTTTTTATCGTGTTTGTTTTGCAATAAAATGAATATATAATGAAAAAATCAACTAGTCATTTTTTTTTTGAGTCTATATAAGTAATAATTATTCCAACTAACTTAAGTTTTTTTACGAAAATCCCATAAAAAACTTACAGATTCAATAATATCTTTACCGATTTGTAAAGTAGACGACTCAAGCATCATGCCCATGTGTTTATCTCAGAATCCATTTTTTTGACGAAAATCGACTTTTTGGAGGGGGGTGAGGCCTTAAATTCTCTACAAAATGCACATAGTGAGAATTTCCAGCATTTCTTCGTGTCTTCGAAATCGGACTAACAATCAGAAAAATGAAGCGTGAAAAAACGCAATGTTTTTCGAAGTATGATTTATCTGTCATCATAATCTAGCTTCAGCCAAAATCAAAATACGCCATTTTATTTAATTTTTGATGGTCTTTCGCATGAGACGTTGCACGAACTGAACAGACAAAAAAATGGCGCAGTTATAGTCAAAATATCGGAACATGCTCTTTTTTCCAAATCTTCGATAACCTCATTTTGAAAATGCTGTAACTCAGTCAAAATAAGCCTGAAGCAACAAAGAAAGTTTTCATAACCCCCGTTTTGATTGTAGAATCGAATGACATGATAAAAGATATATATTAATTTTTACCATGTTATGACCTTTCTCGATGCGCTTACAAAACCTCTCTTAAAAGAAAAACTTGATTTACGTTTCAAAGATTTAATCGATAATGGTTGTTTGTTGCTGTTTGATTACATTGATGAAATATATATTGAGTTATCAGATAAATTAAATATTTCAACTAAATATGGCATATATTCGAAATTGATTACAATAATAAATGATTTTAACGTTGAAATAAAGTTAGATTCCAATAGTCAATTGGATTCAACTTTGGAAAATGTTATAACCTACAGCGCAAAAGTCTTGGCACAAAATATTCTTTCATTTTCCGTTCACTTATTAGCAACCGTTGAGAGTCAAGAGTGGTTAGTTCGAATGAGAATTTTGTACTCTTCTGAATACGTGCTCAAAAGTTTTATGTCTATTTTTACTCGAGAGTAAGGTGGAAATCTTTGAAAGGCCTAAAAAAATTAGTTTAGACGAAACGGGCTGGCTGAAGTTTCTAAACAGAATGTTTGTTCATTTCTGGCCTGCTTGAAATTTTTAAGACGAGTAAAAAGCTATAGGTTATAGCCAGATTTGTATGCTCCTTCCCAATATGGATTCAGAAATTATCTGTCTGTTTTTGTTCGAGAGAAGTGAGGGAATAATGATAGCTTCAGGCTATAAGCATTTCCTCAAGAGCTACTTTCTTCAAAAAAATCGATTTTGACAAAATGAGAGTGACATAGAAAGATAAAAGTTTAGGTGCCTTATTGGAAGAGGAAAAGACAGTCAAATACCAAAACGTCTAAAAACCGGTTTTTAGACGTTTTGGTTTTTGGCCTCTCCTGACCAGACTTGAATTTTTATAAATTTTCTGATTGTGTAGGATTGTAGAGAAATGTTTGCTCCATCAAACTCATGTCATACGACAACTCCATGCTATAAGAACTTTCGGCGCTAAGCCCACTTAAAGAAGTTCCATCGGTAAGTGGCGCTATAAGCCGATGCAACCTGCTTGAATGTTACATTTCCTGATAAAGTTATCTTTTCTCTTTCTAACAACGCAAACCGCACGCCTCTAGCTACTTCCGCTGAGAAGTTATTCAAGTTACAACCAACTCCATTGTCCTATGAAATGGAGAGTAATTCGGCGAACCATTACACAGCTGGAGAATTATTTTACTTGATGTTTCCCATACCGTAAACATGTAAATCAAAAGATAAAAAATAAAATTAAAATGAAGCACATAGAGCACATAAAGAACGCAAAAATAACAGAAAATAGAAAAAAGTAGATGGTTACACTTACAAAACGAATAAGAAAGGTGATGGTGTTAGAAACAGATAGGGATTCATCTCTGTGATACTTTTTAAAATCTTTTTGTTTCGCTTATATATGTTGTTATTATATTGTACACATCTTTGTGAAAGTCAAAGTCAAAGTTTCTTCGCAGTAGCAGTGTCTGTATATCAATCTCAATATTAATTTTCAATTAATTTTCTTCTTAAATAAAAACAGCTTATATCAAATAAGTGAAATTTTAAATGAATTAAAAACAAGCAACAAAAATTTGGAGAAATATTCATTGAGAGCTTTATCCAGCAATACTTTAGAAAAAGTTGATAATTTCAAAAACGAAATAATTTTTAGTAAAATAGGCAAAAACGAAATTAAAATAATATACCGATACCTAATTGACAATAGAGTAGATTATTTTATTTTAAAAACAGATGAAGATAAAGAATTATTTCAATCATTAAATATATTAAATGAAGTGGATTTAATTGATGATAAAATGAAACTAGAAGATTATAAACAACTTTAGTCAATGATTAAATCAAGAAAAGTTTCAGTTTATAAAAATAATATTTTATTTGATAAAAAAATATTTATTGAAATATTCGTAAATCAAATAATGAGAAAATGTGAAAATTATTTCCATCAAAACATTAAAAGATTATTTTAACAGTTTTCAAATAATTCTAAAAATTTCACGGTATATTGAATATAACATTTAAATATTTATTAAATAATTCAAAAGAAAAAAATTCTGAATTTATTGAATTAAAAAAAACGAATTGCATACAACGTTAGAAATAAAAAATATTTTAGAAAAAAATAAATTACCATTAGAAGATATTTTGGATTGTTATGAGCAATTAAACAAAGCATTGATCAAAACATCTTAGAATTGCCTTAAAATATTTAGCGGTCAGTTGAATATTTTACAAATAAAAACGACACAAATTGAGAATATCCATTTTTCAAAATATTGTATCAAAAAAAATAAATTTTATTATTTTAATGATCACTTAAAACAAGTCAAATCAATTGATAATATGTCGGCGTCATGACCAAAACGCATTTGTGTCCTTCTCATTTTTGCAGCCTGCATTTTCTTTTCCCGCCGAAAAAAAGTAATATAATATTAACGGTATTCTTTTCAATGGTAACGATAGTGCTGGCAATGGAAGTTCAAGAACTCGCAGAAATGGTGGTGGCTTCCCACTTTTGTTCACTAATATCCAACGGTGTAGGTACCGTGATGAAAGTTTGATAAAAAGGTGGAATTCTTTTTTTATGAACAGCGTAGACTGGTATGTCCAGTCGACCGGCCTGCTGAAGATCAGTAGCTAGCAAAAATTTAGACAATGGTTTATATCTCAACCAGCATTTTCCATCCTGTACATCTAAAACTAAATGTATTTCGAACGTGAAATCGGTTCCTAACAAGACTCTTTGATTGAATTTGCAAGCTAGAACAACTGAATGTCTAAAAGTTTGTCTTGCTAAAGTAATATCAGCTTCAAGCCAGGCGACTGGTTCAATAGAATTGCCTTCTGGACCTACAATATCAGCTCCAGAATAAGGAAAAACAGCTTCAGTCCCTTTTAAAAGCTGCCAGTAGTCTAAACTGATAATGCTAACACCAGCACCTGTGTCTAAAGTAAAGATGCCTACGTTGCCAAGTAATTTTCCTTTGGCGGACGCACAACCTCTGTTGATGGTGTAAAAACAACTTGAAGTATTAGAAGAAGTGGCATTCTCTTTTATTTTGCTTTCTAGTTTCAACATCGTAGCAGCAAAAGCTTGATACTCTGTTTTAAAGAGAGAAT